GCGGGGCCAGGAGCTATGACTCGACCCCTGCAGCCACAATTTTAGGTGAGTATATATATATATATATATATATATATATATATATATTATATATATATATATAATATATATATATATATATATATATATATATATATATATATATATATATATATATATATATATATATATATAATTTATAGATTTCGGAAATTTTTGTTGACCTATAACTATAAAAGCGCCTAATTTAAAAACGTTCCATAAATTCTTTTTCTGCAAAATTTCTAATAACAAAATCCGTTTCTCTGGTAATGTTTGATTCAGTCTTGCTAAATCAACAAGTCGGGTTTGACGCACAATAGACCTTAAATAGTTTTTGATATGTTTGAATTCGCTAAAAGATCTTTCTGCTGACGCTTCTGTAGCTGGAATTGTCAACAATATTCTCAAACTATCATAAACATTTGGAAATATCTTACGAAGTTTGTAGTCTGTTAATAAATTTAGTAATTCTAAAGGTTTCAGTTCTGGTTTTCCAAAATTTGCTTTATATAATAATGGTAAATGTTGCATTTCTGCTGCAAAATCTTCCTGGGTACAATATAAATGTGAACGATGATCAACAACCAGAATTCAGAAGCCTAAGTGAATTTTATATAATTATTTTTGTAAATAAACTAAAAACAGTTGAAATTACCCAAAAAAAAAAAAATCAAATGAAAAATTCAAAATAAAACGTCTATAGCTATGGGGCCCCTTCAGAGAATTTATATAAATTACTAGTGGTTGTTCAAATACAACTAATAATAATAATAATAATACACAAAAAACCAGCACATAGGAGAAGAGAGCTTACGACGATGTTTCGGTCCGACTTGAACCATTTACAAAGTCACACTAGCATAAAAGATAGGTATATTGTTTGTCAGGAAACAGGACAAGAGTATCCTGACGCAGGATAAGACCCTTTAAGTCACAGCTGGAACTTTTGGTCATGGGACTGAGGACTTCCCTGGCTTACTGGTCCACCTCTTTAAAATTCACGGTTATGATTATAACAATTAGGATTAACATAAAAGAGTGAGGGAGCCAGTATATTTAGGCGAGAGGAACGAGGACGAGGAGAAGAGAGGAAGAAAATAAAAGATTGGTAGTGGTAAAGCTGGGAGTGGAATAATAATAATAATAATAATAATAATAATAATATAATAATAATAATAATAATAATAATAATAATAATAATAATAATATAATAATAATAATAATAATAATAATAATAATAATAATAATAATAATAATAATATTATTATTATTATTATTATTATTATTATTATTATTATTATTATTTTGTTTAATCCTCATGCTCTCATATTTCCCGTGTGACACTAATCAGTACTGGATGGAAAGTGATTCTCGAAAGCTGGTAAACAGATCTTGCTGGTGACCATGTTGACCTTCACATTTGGAGCAACTGAAGTCAGTGGAGCTGTGTCGTTACTTCTCTCAGGGTAAGTTATACATATAGGTCATCCTTCTGCAGTGCTTCTCAATTCTTGTTTTCAAGTACATATCTTAGTCATTGCTTGCTGTTATAAATTCATATACTATCGCTGTTACCATAACCCAGGGCACTTTTCACTCATTAGTCTTACCATTGTGACACACAACTCTCACCCATTACTCTTGTTGCCATAACTCCAAAAACCTGTCGCTTAAAAATCCTGCCATTTTGTTACGGTTTTATCTCTTTCTGAGAGAATATAATATAATACAAGAATTGTTAGATTAAAGAAAGTGTTGAACCCTCAATTTCCACTGACAGACGCTAAGTGAATATCAAATAATCTTTATTTCTCAATCTCGAGCATGATCATGTGTTCAGTAAAATATATTTTGAGTCTACACTGAGGCCTATCACAACCGATGGTTTTTCTCCCTCCAATACATTGGTAGCATAGTGGCCCAGTTATATAGGCGTTTCAATGCCACCAGTGTAACCCCTGGTTTAAGTAAACATAAAGTCTTGTTTAAAACAAGAATTTGTGGGATCACTGTACAGGAGACTACTGGACGAGTGAGCTTCGTGCGCTTGCCTTGCACCAGAATCAGGTCACCTACTAATAACCTTCTTCATACACTTGGCTTCATGCATTTGTGTTCACGTACACTACTCTCACTGTACCAGACTCGTCAACAGTGCTAGTTCTCACGTATTATTATGCAGCAGTGAAAAGCACCACAGTACAAAAGAACAGACATTAAAAGTCTGGAAGAAGCACTTACCAGGAGCCTCATAGTGGAGTGTGATATGAAGGGAAGTCAGCTAAGTCTTTATATACCAACGTTCTCTCCACGAGGAGTTAGCCTTGAACCTCACGATCTGACCCTCATTCTCATATCTATCATTGCTCTCGTCCCTGCCCTGCCCACCTCCCTCATCTTGTTCTTACATTACCCCGCTACAACGTTATCCAACGTCATCTTTTTATCTATATTACACCGGAATCTGGATGTTTGTAACATTGCTGGGCAGCCCTTTGTGTGCGTCGGAGTGTTGCAGAACAACTGTGGAGTGCGCACGAATTGGGACGATTAGAATCAGATCTGTTTATGTTGCAAATTCTACCAATGATATTGATCTGATAGTTTAATACTGATCAGAAGAATCATTCTCCAGTTAATGCTCGTAATCCAACAGTTCCAAGTTTATAAACTAAGCTGGAATATTGGCAAATTTGTATCTAAAAAGCCTAATCTTCTATACCATCCTGTCTGCAAGATACATCAACCTTTAAAAATCGAAACCGTTCAGATGAAGCATAGCCAAGTTATTTCGCGGATAAAGACTGCACTGTTTTGAAAATAATATTAGCAGATTGGCAACTACATACTTCATACATACTTCAGAAGAGACATTCTCAATTTATTGTACAAATGCAAAGTTCGGGAATGATCAGTACAAAACTGATCAGAGAGCATCTGCACATGCCAGCAGCAGCAAGAACCTTTCCCGAGTTACAGTGTATCAGCGGTCAAAATTCGAAGGAGATTGTATGAGACGTTCTCAGATTATAAACAAAGAAATTGAAGGAAAAATGCTCAGGTAACCAATTGAAGGTAATTCTTCGGGACTACTTACTAATCTTTACCCTGAATCACAAGTTTATCCGGCTGATGAGTAAAATGAACTCTATGGCAACGGTGGATCAATCACAAATGATAGCTTAGGGGGAAATTTCCGTTTAGCACCTTAATGCCTTCGTGGCCAGGGGATACAGGTGTTGCAATGAATTCTACTTTACCCGTGTTCAAGCCATCATGAAACTGTTTTTGCCAGAGTTTGTGGCATCAATTTACTCTAGACAGCTTGGGGAGGGAGCCTCGTGGCTTCGTCTCTGGCTCGTCTCAGGTCACTTCCCAGTAACCTAGCACACTGGGGATGTCGTTCACTTGTCTTGGCGCACACCACTCTCTCTGTACCAGACTCGTCAACACTGTTGGAACTCCTGTATTATTTTGCAGCAGTGAGAAGCACCACAGCACAAAAGACAAGACGTTAAGACAGGCTGAGGAAGCACTCACCAGGATCCTCATGGTGGAGTGTGATGTATAGGGCAGGCGATGCTCTCTTTATATAGCGGCGCTCTCTCCACAAGAGGATAGCCTTGAGTCTTACGAGTTAACCTTCAGTCTCACGAGTTAACCTTCAGTCTCACGAGTTAACCTTCAGTCTCACGAGGTAGAGGTAGCTTCAGCTTCATGTCTTCTATATCTCGTTTTCCTGCCCCTCCCACGTTTTCCATTAGTTGCATTCTCACAGGGTCACTTGACCACGGTCAACATCTCACCCAACATCGACTAGTTCTCGATAATATAATGCGATCTCAATGTATGGGGTATTGATAGGCAGCATTTGCATTCATCTGAATGTTGCTAAGCGGCTTTTGTGTTTCCGAGAGATGCTAAACAACTCTTGTCTGCCCAGGTGTTGCTGAATGACCCTTGCATATGTAAGAGTGTTGCTGACTAGGCTCACTTATGTGTGCTTTTGTGTCGCTGAACTACTTTTCTGTGTCCCAGTGTTAGTAAACAGCTATTGTGTATACCGGAATGTTGTTGAACGACTTGTGTGTTTGAGTGTTGGTGAACAGCTGTTGTGTGCGCCCGAGTTTAAAAGATTAAAACCACAAATGCTTACATCGCAGCGTTTAACATGCATCTAATACTTTATTAGAACTAAGCATTTAGCCTTCCCGTGAAATGAAAACAATGTTTCAATCTTTTTCTCTGCTTTTTGTTTCTGGCTCTCATTCTATTAATACATGACATTTCTACACTTGTTTGACTCTCTCCCTTTTTCAATGTCGAGCAGCCTTCCACATGCATGACCCTTATTATTTCTTTGCCTATATTACTGCATGTAGATTTTACTGAATACCAGTTTTTATACTTATATTATTTTCATTTAAGGGCATTATTGCAATTGACTTTTGAAGGATAGAGAAGACATTCGATTTAACTATAAATATTAAATTAACATCCCAGGTGTACCCTCCATGTATTGGTCTATGAGAACTTAACTTTACACCATAGTCAGTCTTTCTGTTTTTAATTATTTTATTTTACAAAAGAAATATATAGGATTAGAGCTGCTATCCTACCTCTGATCATATCAGGGAGGACAAGCTCCCTCCAGGATGCCACCGCAACAGTACCTATTTTCTGCTAGGTGAACAGAGGCATCGGGTGTAAGAACCATGGCCAGTATGTCTCAATCCGCATGAGACTCCATTTTGGTTCCTTTGGTTGTTGTCATACGCACTGCCATTAAGCTGATTTTTTTTCATATCTTCCATTTTTAGTCCTATCTTTGATTATTTTAAATAGAGCGGCATCAACCCATACCGTCGCCTGAGCTCTTTTTCGTGAACCGGCTTTTCTATTTAATAGTCTTTGACAAATAATTACACACACACACACACACACACACAGTGGGTGCCTGTGACGAGCGGGGTCCCACAGGGGTCAGTTCTAGGACCAGTGCTATTTTTGATATATGCGAACGACATGATGGAAGGAATAGACTCTGAAGTGTCCCTGTTCGCAGATGATGTGAAGCTGATGAGAAGAATTAAATCGGATGAGGATGAGGCAGGACTGCAAAGAGACCTGGACAGGCTGGACATGTGGTCCAGAAACTGGCTTCTCGAATTCAACCCTGCCAAATGCAAAGTCATGAAGACTGGGGAGGGGCAAAGAAGACCGCAGACAGAGTATAGGCTAGGTGGACAAACATTACAGACCTCACTCAGGGAGAAAGATCTTGGGGTGACCATAACACCGAGCACGTCACCGGAGGCACACAAATTAACTGCTGCAGCATACGGGCGCCTGGCAAACCTGAGAATAGCGTTCCGATACCTTAATAAGGAATCGTTCAAGACACTGTACACTGTGTATGTTAGGCCCTTACTGGAGTATGCAGCACCAGTATGGAACCCACACCTGTTAAAGCACGTCAAGAAGTTAGAGAAAGGGCAAAGGTTTGCAACAAGGCTAGTTCCAGAGCTCAGAAGAATGTCGTACGAGGAAAGGTTGAGGAAAATCGGACTGACGACACTGGAGGAGAGAAGGGTCAGGGGAGACATGATAATGACATACAAGATACTGCGGGGAATCGACAAGGTGGACAGAGACAGGATGTTCCAGAGAGGGGACACAGAAACAAGGGGTCACAACTGGAAGCTGAAGACTCAGACGAGTCACAGGGACATTAGGAAGGATTTCTTCAGTCATAGAGTTGTCAGGAAGTGGAATAGCCTAGCAAGTGAAGTAGTGGAGGCAGGAACCATACATAGTTTTAAGAAGAGGTATGACAAAGCTCAGGAAACAGAGAGGGAGAGGACCTAATAGCGATCAGTGAAGAGGCGGAGCCAGGAGCTGAGTCTCGACCCCTGCAACCACAATTAGGTGAGCACAATTAGGTGAGTACACACACACACACACACACACACACACACATATATATATATATATATATATATATATATATATATATATATATATATATATATATATATATATATATATATATATATATATATATATATATATATATAAACACACACACACAAACAAACACACACACACACACACACACACACACACACACATACAACAGGCCTAGTGTCTAATCGACATGTGCCTAGGACAAAATGGTAACTAACCGTTCTAGTGCACTCATAAACCATTATTCCTTGTGATTTGTAATTTTACCTCTGATTAGTTGCACGTTTTTTAAATGTTAAATTTGTTAATTGAATAACTTTCATTTATACAAACATTACTGTTAACTTTCACTTTAATCTTCAACAAAAGACTGAATTTGATGGTTCCTGTTACTATATCTGTTAATAGTTCCGCAGATCGTGGTCTCGGGACCCTCGCCAGATAACTGAAGAGAAGGATTTATAGCAGTAAATTGCAGTATAGTATTTAACAGCTTGAGACTGACCAGAGGGTCAGTGTTCATGCCAGATGGAGCTCTGACTGTTATTAATACTGGTATTGAATTTAGTGCCTTGCTCTTTTTATTATGCAAAATCTCCAATATAAAGTGGGTTATTCAATGGTGCAAGTAATATTTCTTGTAAATAGGAAAAAAACTGCTTATTGTTAGCCAAACCTAACTTAATGTAACCCAACCTAACCTAATGTAACCCAACCTAACCTAATGTAACCCAGCCTAACCTAATGTAACCCAGCCTAACCTAATGTAACCCAACCTAACCTAATGAAACCCAACATAACCTTGAATTACTCTTATTCCTGGTTAATTTTGGTTACGATAGGTTACGCATTGTTACCAAAAAAAAAAAAAAAAAAAACAGCTTTTTTCTAACAAGGCTAAAAATAAAACTAGCTCCATTGAACAACCCGGTTAATATATGATAATTTACGTAAGTCAACGATCGCTAAGCTCAAAAAAAAAAAAAAAAAAGCAGACACTGAACTCAGTGTTTCCCATAAGCATGAAGAATTGTATACTGTAATTTGGATATCAGGATTCTTGCCCTTTGTTAAGTTTAATATGCGCCATTTTCAGTTATATAACTTAGAGGTGTCTGAAAAATCATGAAGAGATACAACAGAAATTACATTTTGATAATAATTCTCAGTGTCATATTCTGACAGTCACTTTAGAGACTGAACTAACGTACAAATTTAATAGCCCTGATTATAGAGGCCAAGCTTATATAATCTGATCCGATAAAGTCGTGTGTTATTCAGTACTTGAGTATTGAGGTATCAACCCACGCAGTCACTGGTATTCGTGCTCTTTCGTGAAACGATCTCGCGATTCCTTCGTCTTCCGCTCCCCTCAAGGAAGGTTCCTTGATGTTGGTGAGGGGCTCTTGATTTAGGGAATTGGATCTGTGCTCCAGTTCCCCGAATTAAGCCTGAATGCCTTCCACATCCCCCCCCCCCTAGGTGCTGTATAATCCTCTGGGTTTAGCGCTTCCCCCTTGATTATAATAATAATAATTCGTCTTCCGCTGTCGTAGATTTCAACTGGACAGTAGCAAACGATCCTCAGGACTGCGTTCGTTTTGCAAGTGTCATTCCCTCAAACTCCGAAACGTACACCTCGCCTTTCTTGGTGATAAGTTGAGCATACAAGAGGTCGCTCTCATGTTCCCTATTTCTCTTTATTCTTATCTTGACACATTCCGCTACTTTTTGTTATATCCGTACTCTGTCCGTACTCTGCTGCTGCAACTGCTGGGTTGAGTTAATGTTGATAAAGTCGTATTACTGATCACTCACTGTCTTGCTCTTAGACACGCTGTCATAAACACTGCGACATACTTAAAGCTAAACGCGCTTGATGGCAAAATTACGCTTACACTACTTCAGTGAACATAAAGGTTAGGTTAAGTAAGATTCGTCAGGAAACAGGACAAGTGTTTTCTGACTCGGGTCCTAATCAAACGATGACATGCCACTGGAGCTTTTGGTCATCTGACCAAGACTTTCCACTTGCTTACCCCTCCACCCCTTAAAAATTTTGTATTATTTTGAACGTAAAAATAAGCCGACTATATTTTCACCAAGGAATTTGAATATTAGAGTTATAAATAGATTTCTAAATATAATAAAGTGCATATGTGCTTTAGAGTGATATGAAAATTGCATTTAATATTTTTTAGAAAAAGTGTTCTCAAGATACCTAATACTGAAATAGTATTAGAAATATATGATAAAGGTATGCCAATTGGCTTATCTGATTTTTGAGTTGATTTTACCACGAGGTCAGAGATTAGAAGCCTGACGCTGGTACAGTCTGTTTTAGACCATAAGAATAGTACTTCTAAAATGGGCAATCATTTATCCTCAGTGCTAGTAACATTACCAACCATTATTATGCTAATATACGGTAGAGCTGAAAGTATGAAGTCGATCTAATGAGGCATTCTCAAGTCATAGCATAGAAACGCACTGGGAGAAAGATAATCGCTAGAGGTAACCCCTATTAAGAAGATAATAAAAAGCGTAGTTTAAATCCTCGTATCATTCTTAGATCCATTTACGATGCTTAAGTGCGTATGTTACTCATAACCTGAAAAACCAAGTAAGTGATTCAAGTACGAATGCAGAATCGGCCAAAATTTTCGTGGAAAAATTATGACTCGTTGTTGTGTTATCCACACATTTACCATGTCCGCCTCCCTGTTCGTGTACGCCAAAATAAATACACATAACTTAACATGCACTGGTCCTTCATATTCTTTGTTGGTTGAGTCTCATATTCAACAGACAGAATGAGGTCATCATTTGTTGAATCCATGGCTATTCTGGGATTCAAAACAACAAATATGCAGATAATTCTATACTATCCGCTCGTGAAGACCTCCCATAGTTTCTCAGTATTTCCAAGTAGGGACTTACAAGTGATAAGATCTCTTGCAGCGTCAGGGTCAGTGACCAACAAATTTCATGCAATCAACCCTCGATGCACAAATAACTCGCACATGGGAAAAAGAAACGTATGACGACGTTTCGGTCCGACTTGCGTTATTAACTAGTCACACACTAACACGTGAAAGTGAAGGAGCCAGTATATATAAGAGAGAAGAGCAGGGACCGTCCAGTCACGGTATTGTGCCTATTTGTTCTGTAACCAAACCTCGAGTTAGATCTGATCATTATCGTTTCATTGTTGTTAGTTAAGGGAAACATTACCCTCGCAACTGCATTTACTCGCCAGATCTATGCATCGTTATCTCATGGAGGAGCAAGATACCCAGCCATGTGAAAAATGCCATGGAGGGCTGACAGACTAATTTACTAGATTGTCATATTCATCAACAAGTAGGTCTACATAATTTTCCTCTTCTCTTTGCACGTGCTGAACCCTGTCTGTATTAAAAGTCCCACGAAATGTGACTTCAGTCTTTCACAGTGACTTTCACCCTTGTATACACCCTCGACACTTCTCTCCCCTAACTTTAGCATTCATTTGCTATGTAACGATGAATGACTGATGCATGTTTAAGGTTTCTGTGAATACAGTAGTAGGATAATCGAATGCTGCTGAACGTTTCGTGTTTCTGCTGATGCTAAATACCACCTGAAGCATCACACAGCATGTGTTTCACTATTACTGTAGTCAATTTATGTTTTAATTAATCTGCGTTATTCATAATGTGAACTTTTGACCTTGTATATTTACATTAGTCGACTTGTGTTTTTTTTTTTAGTTACCAATCATAAGCTAATTCTTTATGTTACAGTGACCAGTATCGTCTCTAAGATTTTAATATCGATTTCAATACCGCTACTTCTAAAGCCACTACTAGCTTGAGTTTCATTAGTTATATTGACAAACAAATTTATTAGTTATATTACCTAACTTGTGCTTTCCATTAGTTGCCTCGGCTAGCTTGTGTATTACCCTTAGTCACTTCAAACATGTCTTTCACTAGTTAAGTTTGTCAAAAAAAAAAAATCTTTATCTGATATTGTATTTTAACATATATTAATTTTGTTCCATGCTGAATGTTAAGCAAATCACAATTTATTTCTTAAAGAATTGAGACACTTATGCATCATATGGGAATCTTTGTTGAAGAAGCGTTTGAGGTAATCAGTCCCTCAGCCTGGAGTCGATGTGTTCAGTCTTGTAGATTGATGGACTGAAGACATCGACTCCAGGCTGAGGACTGATTGCCTCAAACGTTTCTTCAATAAAGATTCCCATGTGTTGCGTAAGTGTTTAAATTCTTCAACTTGTCGGTTTTCAAAACCATTCATCACATTCTTTCTTAAAGTTGTTATCCTGGATTTATGGGGCTTGGTGGTTTGACAATAAACAAGCCTCATTTTCCCTCCTTGAATGGCTGCCACTGATACCTTCTGCTTTGCCTCAGAGAATTTTCCTATCTATCTGTTGCTGTCTTGCAACACTGCATAGCTCCTGACGACGCAAGAGAGTGAGAAAGATCTCAAGCTAAAGATTTCCATCCCCATGTGGTCTTCTCTGCGTTAAGATCACCTGTTTGCGATTGTTTACATTACGACAGTCAAGTTATTGCCACTGTGTGGCACTGACGTTCTCATGACTTTTGAATTTGTTAAAGCTATAGGAAACAATAATACTATGATATAAATTGGATATACATTTTCCTTAACCTTGATTAACAATAGCAAATATCAGAAAATGTCACAAAACACATCATTAATCTATTGAACAAGAATAAATATTACAAGATACAGTGAGCATGATTACAAAATCTTGAAATTAAATATATTCCCATGAGTTATACTGACTTCCATTGTGAAGGTTAGAGAATATGGAAAAAAAACAATGTTTTCTGACTTTACGGTGTGCCATACAGTTTAGACGGTGTGGACACACTGAAGCCGTTGACCTGACCGTTACCCCCTCCAATACTGCCTCCAATGCTGCCTCCAATACTGCCTCCAATAGTGCCAATTCCAACTCCAGTGCCGCCTCCAATGTCGTCTTCAATACCACCTCCAATGCCGCCTCCAGTGCTGATACCAACGTCTCCTCCAATATCACCACTGGTACCGATAACCTCGCCGCCACCATGAGCGGCGGAGCTGAGGGCGGACTGGAGGTCCTCTCCTGTGGGCAAAGTTGGGTTATCACCTTCAGCATAGTTGACGAAGTACACTTGAGGAGTTTGTTGCTCAGGTGCTGGTACGTGTACGACCTGTTGGTCCAGTTCAGGCCGCTTGTTGAGGACGTACACAACATTTTTCGTTTGTGGTGGTGGTACAATAATGGGTTCTTGACCTGGTCCGGCTTCTGAGGTGCGGATGAATATAACGTTGTGTTCAACCCTTGGTGGAGGAACATTTGGTCGTGGACCTACAATTGGGGCAACTGGTGGAGCAGTGTACACGAACAAGTTTCTGGTGACTTGTGGAGTCACACAACTTCCGTCCACATGACGTATCTGTCCATCTGCACAGCCACCTCCGTTAAATTCAGCGCCTCCAGAGAGTTCTGCCCCACCAGAGAGTCCTGCCCCACCAGAGAGTCCTTCCCCACCAGAGAACCGTGTGCTACCAGAGAACCCAGATCCGCTAGAAAATCCAGCGTCACCAGAGAACCCTGTGCTACCAGAGGACCCTGCGCTACCAGAGAACCCAGATCCGCTAGAAAATCCAGCGTCACCAGAGAACCCTGTGCTACCAGAGGACCCTGCGCTACCAGAGAACCCAGATCCGCTAGAAAATCCAGCGTCACCAGAGAACCCAGATCCGCTAGAAAATCCAGCGTCACCAGAGAACCCTGTGCTACCAGAGGACCCTGCGCTACCAGAGAACCCAGATTCGCCAGAAAATCCAGCGTTATCAGAGAACCCAGCGCTACCAGAGAATCCAGAGTCACCTCCGTTGGATACAAAGCCACCAGAGAAGCCAGCACTGCTGGAGAAGCCTGTTCCACCTGAGGAGTGACCTGACCCAGAGTGTGACGGGACCCCGTATATCTGCAGGGAGCCGGCGGCTGCGGCCGCTATCAACGAAACAAGTACCTGCAATGGAAGAGAAACGTTATCAGTTAGATAAATTATATTCGGATAAATTCTCTTGTAACAGATATCTAACCGTGAAAATCTACTTCACTATTTATGTTGTATGAAAATGTTTTATTATATTGATCATACCTTTGTGACATAAGATTTTACACATAATTTTTTGGTTTCATAGATGGTGGTTAGGCACTGAGAAATTTAGTTCATAAAAATATGTTTCAGAAACCCGAATAGCTAAAGAATTTTGAATGAATTGCCATTAAGAGGCAAAAAGTATTTGATAAAGTAACCGAGCAGTTTGTAATCATTAACGTTGATCAAGATAAAATCTCTCAAGTTATTGATTGCCTTGGGATTCTTCATCTTTTTTTTTTTTGGGGGGGGGGGGGGGGGGGGAACCGACGAATTGTTGCAGCCTCATACGTGTGGTGTCTTAATTAGTGTTTTAATTTTTTTTAATTCCAAAGTATACACTAGCGAACACAATTTAGATTTTTTTACTGTTCAGAAACCAGATTCGTTGTTTTAAGTTAACTTAGATGCGCTCAACAACGAACCTAAGATTGTTTAGTCTCTGTCGCGAAAGATTTTGTCTTAAATTTTATGATCAATATTTTGGCTATGTAAGGTTAAAGAACCACATGATATATCTTTACTAACACTCATAAGTATTATAATATGCACAGATGCCTAATATAATGCCTATGGTACATACAGTGACTAAAACTAATGTGTTTTTAACGTAAATTCATTACATACTTACGTGAATTCGAAAAATAACATAAATTTCCATACAATCATAAAAATATATTTGCATCGCGGTTTTTTATTTTTTTTTTACTTGTGTTAAGTATAGCTCTTCCACAGCAGTGTCCAGCAGTAGTCAACCGTCAAACTGGTCGTCAAGTTACCCTAATATCTTCTCCCAGTGATGACTGTCATGGTGAAATCGTTAACCGTGAAGCTCTGTTTCACAGAGGTCAATAGCTTCAATAGTGCTTTTAATTTAGCTACACGTTGTTATTCATTATAGACTGGACTGTGCGGAGTGCTTACGAATTTGCAAGAGCGAGCAAATGACATTATATCTGTCACAGAAAACGAAAAAACTCGACCAGCAGTTTTAGGTCAGGGGAAAGTTATTAAGCAACATTGAAACGCTTGAATAACGGGACTAATGTGGGATATTGTTAGAATCTGTCCTTCATATACAACAGATTTGGTTTCTAAAACAGTGAACGATCTGGTCGTAAAGACCACAATGGTACACCACTTTTCCCTCATCCCCTGAAGAAAGTTTTTTTTATATATGTTCAAAGCTTACTCTCTACACTAAGATCATTAAGTCACAATTTGTCTAGTCACTAACGAGAAAGTTCAAACTGGACTCTAGAATGATGAGGCACCAATTCATATGTGAGAATAATATGATCTCTGGCATTAATAAATTTTGACTCGACATTACAGGTTTTTATTATTTTATTTTTATCTTCGGGGCTTAAAAGCGTCCGAGCATATACATAGTACTGCATCTCTCAATGTATATACACTGAGAATAATATATTTCAGGTATATACACCAAAAGTTGTTTATCAGTAGTCAAGATATATGCACCAAGAAATGTATCTTCAGGGTAAATGCACAAAGAAGTGTAACTCTTAACGTTATATAAAAAGAAATAATGCATCTCACAAGTTAAAATTCGTTAGGAATCAGGACAAGTGTTTCCTGACGCGGGTCTTAGTCTTTTGATGACCAGCCACTTGGAACTTTTGATCATCTGACCGAGGTCTCCCACTGGCTTACCCTCCACTGAGAGGTGTATCTCTGTTAAAGCATCATATCTCAGTACCATTCCTCTGTCGATGACAAAAAAAAATATGCTGTCGGATAAATTCTGACGAGAACACTAGACTCTCTTCGTAAACCAATTAGTCGGTATGTATTACCAAGGTTAATACTGCACTAGAGCGCTGCAGGAAGATCTCAACAGAATGATGCATTGTCGAGAAGTGGCAGATCCACTCTAATGTAGACAACTGTTAAGTATTAAGACTTGGAAAAAAGATAACTATGGCACTTATGAACTAAATAATGTATATCTGACTCCGAACGCGAAAGAGATTTAGGAACTCTGGTTAACAGTAATCTAAAGCCAAGACAACAGTGCGAAAGTATTCTCAATATATCAACAAGTATAAATAACAGGAGTCCTCAGGTTATACTTCAACTTTGAATACCGTCAGTGAAGCCTCATTTAGATTACGCTGCACAGTTCTGGTCACCATATTACTGAATGGACATAAATGAACTAGGAAACGTACAGAGGATGTTCCCATGTACCAGTAATCTTTCGTACAGGGACAGGCTGAGGGCCCTGAAGGCATATAATTAGAAATGATGGAACTGAGGTGGATAAATGGAAAACAGGAATAAATAAAGGGGCTATAAATAACGTGCTAAAAAATATTTAATCAAGACAAGACTCGCGGCGATGAGTTCAGATTGGAGAGAATTAGATTTAGAAAAGATATATAAAAGCACTGGTTGGATAATAGAGTTGTGGATGAGTGGAAAAAACTCCTGAGTGGCGTTAATGGAGTGAAAACTTTGATTAGCTTTAAAAATAGATTAGACAGGTACATGAGTGGGTGTGGGTGGGTCTGAGTTGGACTTGCCTAGCATGGGCCAGTATGCCTGCAGTAGTGCTCCTTCCTTCTTATGGTCTTATGATGCATGTCTGAGTATTAGTGTGGGGTGTTACCAAGCACCATGGCTTGTTGTAGTGTTTTAGAATCTCAGGTTAAAGTGTTGAAGGCTGAAGCTTCGCCTAGATGTTTTTGGGAGTGAGTGTGAGATAGCTGGTGTTGGTAAGGAGGAAATGCTTACCACCAGTGAGAGTGGTTCACAGTTCAGGAAGAAGGAAGATAAGGAGGGTTAATGAAGAAGATGTGAAGGTAGGAAATCGATTCTCTGTTCTCCAAGACGAGTGTACTTCAGTGGTTTGTGAGGTTAAAGGTACCTCTGACTCCCCTGATAATCAAGGTAAGAATATTCTGATTGTGGGAGACTCTCAGGTAAGATATTTGGACTGTGCTTTTTGTAACAGAGATAGAAACGTCAGACAGAGGGTGTGCCTCCCAGGAGCTGGTGTTGGTGACATAGTCAGCAGGTTGGATAATATTATGTCAGGTAATGGGAACAAGCCCATTATCTGTCTTAGTGCTGGTGGAAATGACATTGGGAAGGGCAGGAGACAGGAGCTACTGGATAAGTACAGGTCAGCCATAGAAGTAGTTAGGTCTAAGGGAGGGATCCCAGTCATATGTAGTATCTTGCCTAGAAAAGGAGTGGGCAATGAATGGATGTCTAGGGCAATTGGTATAAATTGCTGGCTAGACAGGTACTGCAAGGAACTTGCAATCCCATTCATTGATAACTGGGACAAATTCTATGGCAAGCATGATATGTATGCAAGGGATGGGGTTCATCTCTCTGGGGTTGGAGTGGTTGCATTAGCCAATTCGATTGAGGGGGTAATTGACGACTTGTCTAGGACTTTAAACTGATAGATTACAGAGGTATGTGTGTTTTTGGGAAACAATCAGGCTGCAGTATTATTGTTGAAAACAGCAGTTATTACCAGGATACCTCAGGGATATGTTTAAAGGACAATATTCAAAATAAAGTTCCTAATAAAGGCAAAGCACTGATCAACAAACAAAGAGAGATAGTAGAGGGCAACGAGTGACTAGCTCCCTTAAGGTTTACTATACAAATAGTAGGCGTCTAAGAAATAAGATAGATGAGCTAAGATTACTCGCAAGTGCAGGTAATATAGATATTATTCTATAACTGAGACTTGGTTCAACTTGAAGGACAGAGAAATGCCTTCTGAATGTAGCATAAAAGGTTATAAACTATTCCACACTGATAGGGTCAACAGGGTGGTGGACTGGCGATGTACGTCAGAGAAAATTTAAATTGTTGTTAGACGTGATATAAGATTAGAAACAGACACAGAATCTGTTTGGCTAGTTTCTCGAGGGGGTATGAAAAATTAGTTTTGGGTGTGATATATAGGCCCCCAAACCTTGACATGGAGTGCAGTAAGCTGCTATGGGACGAAATTCATAAGGCGCCTAGATATGAAAATGTTGTGTTAATGGGGGATTTTACCTTTAGACAAATTGATTGGAACAATATGACAGGAAATCTTGAGTCTAGTGACTTTCTTGATACAGTTCAGGGTTGCTTTTTAAAAGAGTTTGTGACAGAACCAACTAGAGGAAACAATCTGCTTGGCTAGGTTCTTGCCAACAAAGATTCACTAATTAATAATCTTGAGGTTAATGATGAGCTTGGGGAAAGTGATCACAAATCACTTAGTTTCAATATATTATGGAATTACCCAGTAAACTGCAATCAAGTCTCTGTCCCAGACTTTCGATTGGCTGATTTCATGTGACCGAAAAATTACCTGGGTGGGTTAAATTGGGATGTCCTGACTATGGGTCAGGTAGCTGGATTTGGTTGTCAATATGACGTTTTTCAGAGCATAGCTCTAGCTGCTCAGTCAACTTTTGTTCCGAGTAGGGAAATTAGATCTAACAAAAATGATCCCAAATGGATGAATAATAGATTAAAACATCTCATTGGTCAAAAGAGAGGCATTTTTAGGCGTATCGAAAGAGGGGATGGGCAATTAAGAAATCAATATATTCAATTAAAGAGAGAAATAAAAAAAGGAATAAGAAAAGCAAAAAGGGATTATGAGGCTGAGGTCACAAGGGATTCGAAGACTAACCCAAAATGGTTCTTTCAGGTATACAGAAGTAAGATTAGGGACAAGACTGGCCCACTTAAGAGTAACTCTGGTCAGATCACTGACAGTGATAGGGTTATATGTGAAATTTTCAATTCTTACTTCCTCTCAGTTTTTACTCAGGAAGATACTAGCGAAATTCCAGAAATGATGAATTATATAGAACAGGACGATAATAAACTGTGCACGATTAGGGTAACTAGTCGCATTGTCCTCAGACAAATAGAGAAATTAAAACCTAATAAATCCCCAGGCCCTGATGAACTGTTTGCAAGGGTTTTAAAGGAATGTAAAGAGGAACTTTGCAAACCTTTGGCTAATCTTTTCAACATATCACTACAAACTGGCATAGTGCCTGATAAGTGGAAAATGGCAAATGTAATACCTATTTACAAGGCAAATGACAGGTCCTTAGCTTCGAACTATAGACCAATAAGCCTTACCTCCATAGTGGGAAAATTTATGGAATCAATAATTGCCGAGGCAATTCGTAGCCAATCTTGATAGGCATAAACTGATAAATGAATCTCAACACGGTTTTACTAAGGGGCGTTCCTGTCTTACGAATTTACTAACTTTTTTCGCTAAGGTGTTTGAGGAGGTAGATCATGGTAATGAATATGGACTTCAGTAAGGCTTTCGATAGAGTTCCACATCAGAGACTTTTGAGGAAACTTAAGGCACACGGAATAGGAGGAGAATTTTTTTTCCTAGGTAGAGGCATGGTTGACATATAGGCAACAAAGAGTTTGCATAAATGGGGAGAAATCAGAATGGGGGCACGTCACAAGCGGTGTTCCACAGGGGTCAATGTTGGGCCCCTTGTTGTTCACAATTTACATAAATGATATAGATGAGGGAATTTACATAAACGATATAGATGAGGCAAATCTGCTGATGACACCAAAATAGGCCGTCCAATTCATTCTATTGAGGACATTAGTGCACTCCAGGATGATTTGAATAGACTGATGCAGTGGTCAGAGACGTGGCAGATGCAGTTTAATATAGATAAATGCAAGGTTCTAAATGTTGGACAGGACAATAACCATGCCACTTATAAACTGAATAGTATAGATCTTAATACTACTGATTGCGAAAAGGATTTAGGAGTTCTGGTTAACAGTTATCTAAAACCAAGACAACATTGCATTAGTGTTCGCAATAAAGCTAACAGAATCCTTGGCTTCATATCAAGAAGTATAAATAATAGAAGTCCTCAGGTTGTTCTTCAACTCTATATATCCTTGGTTAGGGCTCATTTAGATTATGCTGCACAGTTCTGGTCACCGTATTACAGAATGGATATAAATGCACTGGAAAACGTACAGAGGCGGATGACAAAGCTGATCCCATGTATCAGAAATCTTCCCTATGAGGATAGACTGAGGGCCTCAATCTGCACTCTCTAGAAAGACGTAGAATTAGGGGCGATATGATTGAGGTGTATAAATGGAAAACAGGAATAAATAAAGAGGATGTAAATAGCGTGCTGAAAATATCCAGCCAAGTCAGGACTCGCAGCAATGGTTTCAAGTTGGAAAAATTCAGATTCAGGAAGGACATAGGAAAGCACTGGTTTGGTAATAGAGTTGTGGATGAGTGGAACAAACTCCCGAGTACCGTCATAGAAGCTAAGACCTTGCGTAGTTTTAAAAGTAGGTTGGATAAATGCATGAGTAGGTGTGGGTGGGTGTGAGTTGGACCTGACTAGCTTGTGCTACCAGGTCTGGTGCCGTGCTCCTTCCTTAAGCAGAAGTGACCTGAGTAGGTGGTCATTGTTCTAGGCCGGGGGGGGTGGGGGTGGCATGGGTCAGTAGGCCTGTTGCAGTGTTCCTTCTTTCTTATGTTAAGAGTTAGATGCGTCTCCGCCACTTTTGTGGGGGGTGTTGTAATAACCGAAGTGACTGCCATATACTGTATGAACTGATTGGTCTCGATTATAACTAATCCCAGTTGATGATTGCTGATAACTAACGCTGCTTATTTTTTAACTTGTTACAAATTATTAATTGTGTGTCCTAACGTGAATAATTTTTACTTGGAAACAATAGATTTTAGCTCGTGGGTGAGGGTTAGCGTCCATAAAAGTGCAAAGCTTTATAGTGTATATTGCAATGAAATTATAGGCGCAGTTTGGTCCCCGTGCGCTCTGCAAACTATTACTCTTACTTCGAGGTCTCTCCCATTAACAGTGTTACTGTAACTTCTTGCTTGTTGATAAATGGTCAGGTGATACCGTTAAGATGTGGTAAAAGACACTTATGTACAGTTCAGGACATTTATTTGAGGAAACGTTTAGCCGCCAATGACGAAACGTTGCTTCCAATAAATGTCCTGAACTGTACATAAGTGCCTTTTACCACTGCTTGCTTGTTGTCCAGTGTTACCATAATGCTGTAAGACTGTCGATCATTGTTAGTGTTATCAAAACTTACACTACAGATCCCCCAACTGTTGACATACATGTTGGTATATCAGAAAAGGAAGTTATTTCTAATGTACCGCACCAGGCAGAACTTAAAACAGCACATTTATTGTTGTCATATTGATATACACTGAGTTTCTTGAGAGTATTTGCCTCTGTAAAGAACATTAACTGGTACCGCAAATTGAGATTTCACTCTTTCGAGAGTGGAAACGATTGAGTGAAGAAGGCATCATGAGGCCTTTGAACTGGGTTGGCCAGATGGGTTTTCCATATATGCATCATAAAGGAAAGATGACACTTAAGTACTGAAACGAAGATTTTCACTAATCCCTGAGTCGTGACGGAATTACTAGACTGTTACAACAATGTTTTACTTGGACGTAACTTGAAGACAGTAGAACTATGTACAGAAGATGAGGTAATCAGTCCCTCAACCTAGGAGTAGGTGCGAAGAGCACCATAGTCGTGGAAATTCAAGTTATGTCCTAGAATTTGTATTGATAAAGCCACTGGATGGCGAAACGTCTACAATAAAGATACCCAGATGTTGCACATGTGTCTTAATCTCATCTTGTCGGTATTATATACCATTCGTACACAATGTTTTACTTAATACTCTCACACTTGGGATTCCGGGCAGAAATTAATCCAAAGGGCAGTCTTACGGCAATAAACTAATGGATTAATTAAGTAAAACCCTTTAAAAACGTTATTGCTACCTGACCAATGCACGTTCAAGAGAAGCAGTGTTTACTCTGACAGAGTTTCCGATCATTTTACCCAGCACTACTGGGTAAATGAGCCTCTTGGTATAGTCTGGCACTCATCATGGTTCACCAGCCAGTAACCTCTTAGCACAGTGGCCATGACATGCACTAGCCTTCAAGAACACCACTCACGCTGACCAGCCTCGTCAACAATACGGGAACTCTTGTAAATCTCTGGCGCTGTGAGAAGCTCCACTACACAAAAGCCAAGACGTTAAGAAAAGTCAGGAGGAAGCACTCACCAGTAGTCTCATGGTGGAATGTGATGTGTGGGTGAGAAGACGCTGTGTTTATATAGCGGCCCCTCACCATGACGGGCTAGCCTTGAGTCTGACGGAATTATCCTTGAGTCTAATGTATCCAATACCTCGAGCTCTACCCAGCCCACCTTTCCCATTATCCTTGTACATTCATACTAGGTCATCTGGTTACATTTATTCTGCTCACCTGTCGTCACTTCCCTTTGTTCTCGACATTATAGTGTGACCTGGGTGTGTTATTATTTTACTGGGCAGCTCTCATGTGATCGAGGTTCGTTGAATTGTTGTATGCTCGTCTGAGCCAAGACGATCAAAATAAAAAAAATTCTCTGAACTTTCCCCCTCTGATATGGTTTATGTCATTTTCTATCAAGGTATTTTGGACCAAAAAAGAACGGAAGCAAAAAGGACGTCTTAATTATTTTAATAACTAAATATATTAAAAGAAAGTTATCAGTCTTTTGTTACTGGCATTTTAGTCGTGTTATGTGAGCCTTATGACTGAAGGATTCCAACCTCACCTCCCTACAGAACTGTCATAAGAACTGCAGTAGGCCTGTAGATGAATGGTTCAGAGAACCGACACGTTGATAAATTAGACACATGTGCAACTCTTAGGTATCTTTATTGAGGAAACGTTTCGCCACACAGTGGCTTCATCAGTCCATACAAAGGAGAATGGTGATGAACAGGAGGAGTTTGAGGTAATCAGTCCCTCAACCTTGAGTCGATGTAATCAGTCTATCAATCTTGAAAAGAATACAGCATATGTGCGGAGAAGTAGCTTATATACCTTAGGCAGGAGAGGTGCAGCAGTCGTAGGTGGTGTCACATTTGTCCAATGTGGAAGTAGGTCGTGCCCAAGGATTAGGCAAGCGAAGAATTCCCAAGTAATAAGATCCCAAGAAGTTGCAACTTCTTGAGATCTTAATACTTATACCCATCTTCCACGTATACACTTCAGTCATATCTCCCCTCATTCTTCGTTTTACAAGTGAATGTAATTTAAGGGACTTCAATCTATTTTCATACGGAAGATTTCTAATGCTATGTATTAATTTTGTCATTCTTCGCTGAAGGTTTTCAAACGAATTTTTATCCATTCTGTAATATGGAGACGAGAACTGAGTTGGAGTGAGATTAACAAGTTAAGAAAGCCTAGAGAACAAATGGATTTGTCAGTTAAAAATAGGAGAGGAGAGTTATTAAATGGAGAGTTAGAGGTATTGGGAAGATGGAGGGAATATTTTGAGGAATTGTTAAATGTTGATGAAGATAGGGAAGCTGTGATTTCGTGTATAGGGCAAGGAGGAATAACATCTTGTAGGAGTGAGGAAGAGCCAGTTGTGAGTGTGGGGGAAGTTCGTGAGGCAGTAGGTAAAATGAAAGGGGGCAAGGCAGCCGGAATTGATGGGATAAAGATAGAAATGTTAAAAGCAGGTGGGGATATAGTTTTGGAGTGGTTGGTGCAATTATTTAATAAATGTATGGAAGAGGGTAAGGTACCTAGGGATTGGCAGAGAGCATGCATAGTTCCTTTGTATAAAGGCAAAGGGGATAAAAGAGAGTGCAAAAATTATAGGGGGATAAGTCTGTTGAGTGTACCTGGTAAAGTGTATGGTAGAGTTATAATTGAAAGAATTAAGAGTAAGACGGAGAATAGGATAGCAGATGAACAAGGAGGCTTTAGGAAAGGTAGGGGGTGTGTGGACCAGGTGTTTACAGTGAAACATATAAGTGAACAGTATTTAGATAAGGCTAAAGAGGTCTTTGTGGCATTTATGGATTTGGAAAAGGCGTATGACAGGGTGGATAGGGGGGCAATGTGGCAGATGTTGCAAGTGTATGGTGTAGGAGGTAGGTTACTGAAAGCAGTGAAGAGTTTTTACGAGGATAGTGAGGCTCAAGTTAGAGTATGTAGGAAAGAGGGAAATTTTTTCCCAGTAAAAGTAGGCCTTAGACAAGGATGTGTGATGTCACCGTGGTTGTTTAATATATTTATAGATGGGGTTGTAAGAGAAGTAAATGCGAGGGTCTTGGCAAGAGGCGTGGAGTTAAAAGATAAAGAATCACACACAAAGTGGGAGTTGTCACAGCTGCTCTTTGCTGATGACACTGTGCTCTTGGGAGATTCTGAAGAGAAGTTGCAGAGATTGGTGGATGAATTTGGTAGGGTGTGCAAAAGAAGAAAATTAAAGGTGAATACAGGAAAGAGTAAGGTTATGAGGATAACAAAAAGATTAGGTGATGAAAGATTGAATATCAGATTGGAGGGAGAGAGTATGGAGGAGGTGAACGTATTCAGATATTTGGGAGTGGACGTGTCAGCGGATGGGTCTATGAAAGATGAGGTGAATCATAGAATTGATGAGGGAAAAAGAGTGAGTGGTGCACTTAGGAGTCTGTGGAGACAAAGAACTTTGTCCTTGGAGGCAAAGAGGGGAATGTATGAGAGTATAGTTTTACCAACGCTCTTATATGGGTGTGAAGCGTGGGTGATGAATGTTGCAGCGAGGAGAAGGCTGGAGGCAGTGGAGATGTCGTGTCTGAGGGCAATGTGTGGTGTGAATATAATGCAGAGAATTCGTAGTTTGGAAGTTAGGAGGAGGTGTGGGATTACCAAAACTGTTGTCCAGAGGGCTGAGGAAGGGTTGTTGAGGTGGTTCGGACATGTAGAGAGAATGGAGCGAAACAGAATGACTTCAAGAGTGTATCAGTCTGTAGTGGAAGGAAGGCGGGGTAGGGGTCGGCCTAGGAAGGGTTGGAGGGAGGGGGTAAAGGAGGTTTTGTGTGCGAGGGGCTTGGACTTCCAGCAGGCATGTGTGAGCGTGTTTGATAGGAGTGAATGGAGACAAATGGTTTTTAATACTTGACGTGCTGTTGGAGTGTGAGCAAAGTAACATTTATGAAGGGATTCAGGGAAACCGGCAGGCCGGACTTGAGTCCTGGAGATGGGAAGTACAGTGCCTGCACTCTGAAGGAGGGGTGTTAATGTTGCAGTTTAAAAACTGTAGTGTAAAGCACCCTTCTGGCAAGACAGTGATGGAGTGAATGATGGTGAAAGTTTTTCTTTTTCGGGCCACCCTGCCTTGGTGGGAATCGGCCAGTGTGATAATAAAAATATAATAAATAAGAGAACTGAGTTGTGTAATCTAGGTGATGCCTTACTAATGATGTATAAAGCTGTAGTAAAACCTCTGGACTTCTGTTGCTTACACTTCTTCATATAAATCCCAGTAATCTGTTTCCCTTATTACGTACGCTTAGGCACTACTGTCTTGGTTCAAGATTGCTGCTTACCGTAACCCCTGAGTCCTTTTCGCATTTTGTATGGCTAAGTTCTACATTATTTAGTTTATAAGCGCTAAGGTTATGAACATTCCCGAGCTTCAGAACTTTGCATTTATCTACACTGAACTGCATCTGCCACTTTTCTGACCACAAATTGAGTTTGTCTAAATCTTCTTGAAGTTCAGTGACATCTACATTTGAATTAGTTATCTTACTTATCTTCGTGTCATCAGCGAATTTGCTCATATCACTAGTAATTCATTCGTCAAGGTCGTTGATATATATTGTAAACAACAATGGGCCTAAAAACTGATCCCTGTGTTGTTACAGATCCGCACTCAAATTTTATCCCATTTATGCACAATCTCTATTTCCTGTTCGTGAGCCATGACTCAATCCATGACAACACTTCTCCCTCAGTGCCATGAGCTGCCACTTTCTTTAAGAGTATCTGATGCGGTAATCTGTCAAAAACCTTACTAAAATTGATATATACAAAATCGTATTATTTATCGTGATCAACAGAATCATGGAATTTTGATTCTGAGGACATGTACATAACCTTCACGACTTCGACAACTACTACTGCAACTAACCCATCTCTCTGGGTAGGACCTACTTCCACTGGGAAATCCCGCCTACCAGTGACTATGCCCTCGTCTGCTACACGTCCCCTTTCCACCAGACGTTAGTATATAAGCGCCAGGCTCCTAGCTTCTGCTTCAGAATCTCCACGACTACGGTGCTCTTCACACCAACTCCAAGGCTGAGGGACTGATTACCTGGAGTTTACCTGGAGAGAGTTCCAGGGGTTAACGCCCCCGCGGCCCGTATATAGTTCTACTGTTTTCAAGTTATGTCCTGGAATTTGTACTGATAAAGCCACTGGATGGCGAAACGTCTACAATAAAGATACCCAGATGTTGCACATGTGTCTTAATTTCATCAGAATCAAAAGCTTTACTGAAGACAGTTAGTAAATTAGTTAGGCAGGAACGGCCCGTTGTGAATCCATGCTGAGTATCATTAATCAAATTATATTTATCAATATGGCTTCTTATAATATCAGCCTTATTTGTCTCTAGTAATTTGCCTACAGCAGAGATTAGGCTTATTGGGCGGTAATTTGGTGGTAATGACTTGTCCCCTTCTTTAAAAATAGGAATTACGTTGGCCATCTTCCACGTATCAGACACTACACCTGTTTGAAGAGTTATATTAAAAATGTTAGTTAATGTCAATGTGGCAGAGCACTGACTACCTTATTTCAAGGTTCGTAGGTTCGAGTCTCATCGACTTGAGATTAGTGTTTGTGAATATTTCGCCTGTTCTGCGAATTCTAAACACACACACACACACACACACACACACACACACACACACACACACACACACACACACACACACACACACACACACACACACACACACACACACACGCACACACACACACAAAGAAAAGAGGTATATATTTCAAGGAATATGCACCACGACTTGCATTTTAGTGCATCCTGGATAAATGCACCGATAAATGCATCTCTCATGGTATATACACTGAGAGTTGTATATTTCAGTGTAAATAAACAGAAAGAGCGAAGTGTGCTGGTAACAGTTGTCTTCCACATCTATCTATGACGTCATCTTGCTAAAGACGTTGCTTCCCCCCCCCAATGCTTATTTTTTCCTGACATACAGTACGGGATCAACATCCCGCTCCCAATGTTAACTTAAAGCATCAACTTTCACTCATTACCACTATTAGTATAACCAACCGCATTTCTCTGTAAGCTGAGGATTAATTAGATGCATTTCACTCACAATCCGTTGCAGGTGATGCTGCATCTCTCTGTGCAACTTGT